TACAGTATGGCTTAACCATTCGGTATTGCATTACTCACACGTTGTTTCGTAGGACAGCTGAAACCCCGGATTTCTTAAGTTACGCTTATATTGAGTTACGTTACATTTAGTACAGTATGGCTTAACCATTCGGTATTGCATTACTCACACGTTGTTTCGTAGGACAGCTGAAACCCCGGATTTCTTACGTTACGCTTATATTGAGTTACGTTACATTTAGTACAGTATGGCGTTACCATTCAGTATTGCATTACTTACATATGTTTCGTAGGACAGCTGAAACCCCGGATTTCTTAAGTTACGCTTATATTGAGTTACGTTACATTTAGTACAGTATGGCGTTACCATTCAGTATTGCATTACTCACATGTTGTTTCGTAGGACAGCTTAAACCCGGGATATCTCCCCGTGCCATTAGAAACAAACTGCACCCATATAGCATCCTCACTCGACGTCAAAGTATCCGGCTTTGTGTTGCCACAGAACTTCCCCAACGAGTCACTAAAACTGTATCCCCCATCTCGTATGATGACGTAATCATCGTTACATCCAGGGCTCGGCTCGATGTCCATGAAGTCGAACTTGATTCTGAATCGTTCACTGCTTGAGGTGCTGATAACCCAGGTACATTTGACGTTGTTTTCATATTTTAGAGGATACTCGTAACTGGCTAGGGATCCTGGGGATGTCTCCAGTTTACGGGTTTGGACTTCATCGCTGCAGGATATTGATAGTGGTACTGGAGGGGAGGGGGGAGGGAAATAGGTGGTAAGGATTAGTTGCCATGGTAACAGATTATTGACATATATTTTGTCATAGTTAATAGGAATAAAGTGCCACCCTCAACGGATAAATCACTACCCTCTGCAAAAATTCTGTTTTCTTTACTTCAAGCCCCTACCATCGGTAAGAGTTCTTGGTCGCTTCCATCCTTTAGTATTTCAAGCTCCTTCCCGAAGCATCCCTCTCTACATCAATGTACCACCCTCCCCTTCCACTAGACTACAGCTGTACCTCTTTTGATCTTTCCTTCAACTAATCAATTCCCATCTACTCTCCTTCCTCACCCCTAACGCTTGGGTATTATTTCAGTATTTACTCTCCATTATAAACTGACTTACATTGAGTGATGGTTTCATATTGCGCCGTAAATCCTTGGTTGGTAAATCTTAGGGAACCTGATTTGAAGTGCACCAACAAACTGGACCCAGAGGAGAAGACCACAACACGATTACTACTCGTATCACACAAGGTACGGAGGATTTTACTGGAGTTGTCTGCTCCATCACGTATCTCGATGGACGAACTAAAGCAAGACTTGAGAAAAATCTCCTGGAAGCTGAGGCGAATTTTGTTTCCCGTCGGAACCGTTATAACCCAGGAACACTTCATGTTGGGCGGGTAATACTTGGGGTAGCGAGGGGTAAAGATGGTGCCGCTGGGGGAGGACATGGGGATCAGGTTGTCAACGAACTGTCTAGTGCAGTTACCAAACGAAGCTGAAAAATACAAGAACGAATGGAATGAGAACAAATACTAGAAATACTAAAAATCATAGTCTATAAAGTGAGAGACGTCATTAAGTCGGTATGAAGCCATATATGCACTATGACGTCACTAATGACGTCATACATGGTGCATTGGTGACGCTTTTATGTTCACACGAGTTTAGTGGATATAGACTGTCACTAATGACGTCACGCATGATGGTAGACGTCAACCTAAATACAACGTCATTCTGAGGTTGTTTCATTTGTGTTCAGTATTAAATGAATGTGATATTTTATGAGTGTACTATGACGTCATCAATAACGTCATACTTTATATAACACAGTCCTTATGACCTTATATAAGGCTTATATGACCTTATGACGTCATACTTTATAYAACACAGTCCTTAAGTCCTTATGACGTGAATTTTTGTGTTTGTTTAGTAAATGGATTTACCTTTACCCTTCTGTTGTTAGTTTCAATGCGTTGGCTTCTGTTTAAGGCATATTATGACGTCATATACATACACTATTGCGTCATAGTTCATCAATATTACTTACGATCAGGTTCAGCTGTATAGCTTGCTTCAAATCCCGGGTACCTCCCTGTGGCGTCGCTCCAAAACTCTACTGTCACCTTGTTATAAGTTGATTTGTAGGACAGCGGAGTGTTTTTCTTTCCGCAAAGTTTGGCCATCACGGTAGAGCCGATCTCCTCGTCGCTAATCAACCGTAGGGCATCCTTCTCACAGGATGGATCTGGCTCAAGGTCGAGCGAGGTGACAGTGATCTTCACGATGTGCTGAAACGGGGCAGTGATGTACCACCTACAGTAAGCGTCGTTCCCATACCGGAGAGGGAAGCCCTGACTTGCTAACTTTCCACTCATTCCCTTCAGTTCTTTTTTGGATCTACCTGCGCACGCGTAGGGTTTAGGAACAGCCATTCTCGCTACGTACGTGGCATGAAAGCCTTTTGATGGATCTTTACCAATCAATTCAACTAACAGATGATTACTCGATGAATAAATCGATGGACTATTATAACTAGATTGGTATTGACATAGTTTTTTTATCAGGGGACTCGACTTGGTTGCGCCATCATAGATTCGAATATATTCTTTGTCGCAATTAGGATCAAGGTTAGTGTCGATGCGTAGCTCGATGACTTGACCGCCGGTGACTGTGATGTTCCACATACAATTCATGTTGTCAGGGTGACGGTTGGGGTAATTCATGCCGTGGAATGTAGCCGCTTCTCCCTGTAGGTTTATAGTACCTGGTTGGTTTGCGTCACAGCTTCCTGTTGTTACTGTAGATAAAATAGAATCAATTTTAATGACTGAATTAGTTGAGCCCTTTCCTGCAACTCCTAGAGTTTTCCCTCGTAAAGCAACCTTCCACACCACACCGCACCTTTCTACACCCTCCTTCACTTTGCCTCACCCTCCTTCACCTTGCCGCAACCCTCCTTCGCCTTGCCGCACCTTCCTGCACCTTACCACACCCTGCTGCACCTTACTGCATCGTCTTGCACCTTACTGCATCGTCTTGCACCTTACCACACCTTCCTGCATCTTACCACACCCTCCTGCATCTCACAATAACTATGACATGCCATAATCTAGACACATTTTCATCTTAATTCTATATGTATAGTACTTTAAATGATTTACTTACCTAAGGGCGTGGTTTCATACTCCGCTTCAAAACCTATTGGTCTCACTCCAGTTTTAATCTCCTCTGTTTGTTTATACTCGACATCAATTCTCCTGCCATCAGACACCAATGTCTCTGAAATCGAGTTCCTTAATCCGAAGGATCGAATCTCGTAGACATCCACCCCTGTTCTTACTCGAAGATCAACCACATACGAGTAGAGTGGTCCTATCCTGAATTTCACATTGATTGTTTCCAGATCAAGTTTAACAACATGTCCAATCGGAGCTCTGAGCCTAAAGATGCAGGTGATGGGGACTGGTGGTACCACTGAAGGGAATCCTGGACTAGATATTTTACCGTTAGACGCAGATGGCGTAATGCGACTGTTAACATCTGCTGAGTTACTGGGAGAACAGGTTGCTCCTGGGAAAGAATAGAAAATGGAATCGAGTTGTTTTATTTTATCCTTTTACGTTAAGTATGATATTGTTTTTTTTGGTGAAGATAAATTGATTGAATGATTAAACGAGCAATGCAAATAAATGGATGAATGGATGGATGGATGGATGGATGGATGG